AAAAAGTTCGTACTGATGCAGGAAAAATGTGAATAGAAATCGTTCCAACGATTTCTATGCTAAGGTCTTAGTTTGTAAGTAGCTTTTTAATATCTAACATAATAATCTAAATATAAATACTGAAACTAATCTCACACGACTAGATATAGCTTGATTTAATATTTATTGTAACCTTTGAGGTAATAGTTGCAACATACATAAAAACCAGTGAGTCCAAAATGAAAACAGAAGATTTGCTATCCTTTCAAAATAAATTGAAATTGAACTTCTCCTAAGGACGTCTTATAATTTGTACAAAATATATTCTGAGTCAATGAAAATTATTTACTATTACCTCTAATTTTGTACAGTGTCATATTCATAAGATTTAGAAGGCACAAATTTCTTAGTTTTTATCACCCGTGTTCATAGAATATATAAGGCAACTGTAATTACTTTAACAATACCTGTCTTACAAAGAGCTAACTCTTTAGGTCTACAAGTGAATAGAAATAGTTTACTTATAACCCTGAATATTTATAAACAAGAATGTTCTTTACATTTATTTATCAAGTGTTTTAGGTACACATACAATGTATACTGTTGGACAACGACCATGAAATTAGAAAGAATACTAACAAACAAAAAAGAATTACATTTAGCATAAATATTATTAACTTTTGATTAAGAATTGTCTTAAATACGCGTTTTGTTCAGAGACTAACCATAATATATACATTGTACGCGTGTGTAACGAATTTGTTATTACATATTTATTTTGATATCAACGTTTGTTTAGATTGAATTTATATTTAGAAACATGCATAGCTTATAGTGTTAGTTATGTATTGCAAAACCCCGCCTATTCTCCAAAGTTATAGAAGATTCTCGAGAGTAAGAATCAATAATATATGTATGTACGTAAACGCTTAAATTTTTATTGTTAAGTAATTTGAATTTTCTAGAAAGCCTCCACATGCCTATAAATATAACCAACGCGACGCGCCGAAAGAGTATCTATTATTATTTTGCTATAGTCAGTGTGCTATAAACTTTGAAAGCTATAACTGTGATTGTTATGACGCTTATCAATTTGAAAACTCAGATATTTGACCAGGAGAATTTAAAAAATTCGAACATTATAAATCATTTAACTTCATTGGATTCTCATCGGACATTAGTATTTTTACGAAAACATTATATAAATTCATCGTGGAAAACTCGACGTGTGTGGCCTATCACATTTCACCACGACAGAAACAATCTGGTAAATGAAAAATTTAAAGTTGTGCAACAGCTTATTAAGAAAAATTTTAAAATCAAATAATCATGTGCGGAATACATTACAAATTGTAGTAACCACAGCGACGTTTTAAAAGATTTTACAAGCATTAAAACGAGACTCACGATAGGCAGTCATCTATGTCTGATGTCAGAGGACGAGGCTTGGTTGTCACTCTGTTAACGTCTTCATGGAGTCCTTGAAGAAGATAGCGTAAGAATTCTTGGGAATCTTGTTGACTGAAAAATAAAAAAAAATCATAGAAAATTCAATATCTGTTCATTTGGACAATTAACAGATGTAGACAATCTAAAACACTATTTCAGTTTGTTTAGTCTTAATAGAAGGTTAATACTTTTTGGTTTATAAAATTATGAAGTACTTTAAGTTAACCATGTGAATAATAAAATCTTAATAATTAATGTGACACGTGAACTCCGAAATGACTGTGCATATGGAGGTTGTACTTCTCTGATAATTCTTCCTCAAACTCACAGCTACAGTAATAATTTCCTCAAAATGTCTATTTTGGTCACTCATCTAAGATACCGAACCTGATTTCCTATATGGTTGCTATTGAAAAAATGTTTGTATGGTAGAGATGTGCATACTTCAAAAGCCAGCAAATCCCAGTTACAGATAAGAAACAGCTGAATAGTAGTTAGAATCTTTGCCAGGATTCCAAAATTCCTTATAATGAAAAAAAGAGCTTCTAGCGTTAAACACACACACACACACCCAAACGATATTTGTCAAACATTCCAGGAAAATAAATAGTTTTTCAAAGAAATAGAAAGAGAAACACACTATATTTTAAAATATTTTTGTTTTTTCAAATACTATCATTGTTTTGCTATTTCACGATATATCTTCTCAAATATGTTGCAGATTTTCAAAACGTAGGTTCAACCAATTTTGGTATTGTTGCGTCATCGAGATCACGTGACTATTCTCACGCCCTCTACTTTCTAGAACTATCCCGTACTCTAGCATTTACTAGATATAGGGTAGCCTGGTATATAAAAGAGGGTGACAACGTGACGGAAAGGTAATGTGTGTGTGTAGATAGTGAGTAATTGAACTGCAGTCAGAAGTATTGTTGACGTTCGTTGATATAGCGTTTGTTTTAGCGTGATTGTTGAAAATAAGTGTATCGTAAAGTTGTATTCGAAAAGAATAAACCAGTTTTATTAAGTAAGGACTTGTGTCGCTAAAGTTTCGTCGGAACGAAGTTACGGAAAGTTAATTAACAAACGAGACGTAACAGTATTTAAATATTTGATTATTTAAGAAACTTCGATCCGTGACGCCGCCTGATTAAGACCAATTATTTAATATAATTTATCTTATAGTTTCTCGTATTCAGGATCTACTGTACCCAACAGTTATTTAATATAATTTCTTATCTTATAGTTTCTCGTATTCATAATCTATTTTACTCAACAATTATTTAAAATAGTTTCTTATCTTATAGTTCCTCGTATTCAGGATCGACTGAACCCAACAATTATTTAATAGAGTTTATTATCTTATAGTTCCTTGTATTCAGGATCTACTGTACCCAACAGTTATTTGATAAGAGTTTCTTATCTTATAGTTCCTCGTATTCAGAATCTACTGTACCCAACAATTATTCAATAGGGTTTCAGAATATACTAAACCCAAAATATACTGTCTTGTTTGTACAAATTTCCCTTGTTGAGATTTGTGCGTTTGGTATAATTTTTGTTCCATAAATCTATGACGTTTGTCCATTGCTCTAAATCGCTGAAATTACATACGTTATGGCACATTAATAGGCAATTTGGTCCATCAAGGATTTCCTGGCTCCCAACCTATCCGCAAAACAGAAAATATGTTCTAATACCCCAGATATTCCTCAACAATTTTCTTAAACTCCTCTAATGTTACAGACTTTAGTATGCAGATATTACATGCCTCACTCTCCTATGGTATATCTTGAGGAAAATTAATCGTGAAAACCATACTATCTTTCTTTTCCACAGATTTACCACCTGTTTAAATCACCCCCTGTTTGGATTTTTAGTCGAAATGACTATGTATATACCATTTTCAGTATAGCAATGTCTCGAAGGCTTAAGAGTTGTATAAAAAATACCCCAAAATATCTTTCTCATCCATATGTTAAAGTTTCCTTCTAAACTATATGTATGATGTATATTATGATAACTCACATGCAACACCTTACACTTAATAAAATACATCATAATAAAATGTATTCTGCCGTGTGTTTGTTTAACTAACTAAATGATTTAAGCCTCTTTATAAAATCGTAACATCATCGGTGTAGGCAACTAGGTATACGAGTCTTAGATCATCAGCAAATTTAATCAACTATGCTTCTATCAATGTTAGCCTCTTAGTGGCACATAGGTAAGTCTGAAGGCTTATAACGCTACAAACTGTGGTAAACACAGCACTGATAGGTCGTTGTGTAGCTTTGTGCTTAACTACAAGCAAAAACAAAACAACCAAACAAAAAAACTATATAATTAATTAATTAATTAATAAAAACCGTCATACCATGTGTATAATATTCAAGTGCATCACCATTTAATAAAACAAACCAAAGAGCTCCTCAGTTAATATACATTATTACTTTTAAATGTTCCTATCTCAATACTCCAGTTGTACCAACATAGCTTCAACTCGATTAATATTAATATAGTAAAAAACAACGTAGTTTAATCTAGAGAGCGTGGTGGTTTTGAACGATTTGTTTGTAATGAAACACAAAGCTACGCAATGTACCATCTGTGCTCTGCCCACCACAAGTATCGAAACCCGGTTTCTAGCGGCATAAGTCGGCAGACATACAGCTTTATCACTGGGGGTACGGGGGCGGTATTGAACGAGCAAAGTTGACGACTTAATGTTTCATTGTTTTTTCAGCGACTTCATGTATTGATTTAACGTATTTAGGGGAAGCAAATAGCAAAGTAAGCATCAAACATATTGTACTTTTAATTTCGATGACGAGGAACCCACTTTGAGACTAATAATGGTTATAGATGGCTTGAATGTGTAATGAAGAAAAACTTTAATATAAGTTTAACATAACAGCAAATGTACAACGTTTCAACAAGGTTTTTCTATTAAAGTTTTTCTTCATTACCCATTCAAGCCGTCTCCAACCATTATATTGTACTTTTATTGTTAAGAACGGTCTAAAATACATTGTATTCCAAATTAACTCCAAATCTCTCCACGAGAATACGTTATATTAAAACGATTTTAGAGCCTCACAACGTCAATACATGTTATGTATTACATATGGTCATACTGTATCTTACGATCGTGTATCTGAACAATAGTCCTGCAGCACAGTTTTCATTGAAAATGCTCTGTCGTAAAATTGTCCAAAGCACGCCTCCCTGTATGTTTTACATAATCCATCTAGTGTACAAGGATAACGGTTTTCCACCGCCCTTTTGAAAAGTTTTATCAGTCCATAGGTGCCGTGTTTGGCAACTTGACCAGTATGTCTTTGTATGGAATACCATGAATATCCATTTCATTCTTCAGCTGATTAAGGTATGTGATAGATGAATAAAAATTATACCTGGAACCTAACCTCATTTTCGTTGAGAACTGATATACCTATTTTGTACAAACAGTCCAAAACATTAACCAACCTGACAGTAAGAAGAATTCACCATGATCTCTATATCCATTCTTCTTATCTCTAACTTGTCCCTGACACAGTATCCAACGATGATCATAAATTCACAACATGCCTAGAACTCAAGGTTCTCTAGAATTGTCAGATTTTGTTAGAGGAAGGATAGTTGGTCAAGTAGATGGTGGAATAAGTCAGCGGCAAATTTCGCAGAATTTGGGAATCCCACTTTCGACAGTCAACAGACTTATCGTGCAGTTCAGGAAACACGGCAAGGAAACAACTGAGCAGCGTCCGGGTCGTCCTGGTCCATCGGAGAGGACAAAAAGGTCTGTCA